TATATATTTTTTTTTCCCTAGATCTTTATTACCTGTTTCTTGAAGACTGTAGCAGCTGATGCTCCTCCTGATGCCGCAAACAAGGCTTGCTCATACAGTAAAACAAGCAACAGGTGAGTGGCCAAGCATTGATCATGAACTTGTAAAGTGATTACATTAGGCTTGAATGCCCACTATTGTATTTCCTAAGCTTGTATACGAACCAAAATGGAGATTGTGTAAAAACAAAATGCCATATTTAAGATGGAAAACTCTCTATAAATACTGTCTACCAACAGTTATTCTTTTGGCATAATGGATGGAAGCCCCCACCTTTTTAGGCCCAGTGCCCAATTATAGCTAGGTACATTGACAATGTACACTGAGTGGCCAGATTATTATGACCACCTGATGTTTTGTAGGCAAATTAGCTATAATTTGGCGCTGAAGTTGCTAGAGGGCCAGACCATTATAAATAGGGAAGCAGGTTGTTTACCACGACAGAAGTGATTTCTGAAGATTCGGGGAAACAACGCGATGTAACAGCCTTTGAACGTGGGATGATTGTTGGCGCTCGGAGCCATGGAGCGAGTATCAGCAAAACAGCAGAATTCGTTAAATGTTCAAGAGCAGCTGTTAAAGTGTTTAAAAACTGGACTGTCAGAGGAAAATCTGGGTCTGAACGTGCAAATTGTGGCCGCCAGCGACTAGTCAATGTTAGGGCAGAACGGAGAGTGGCAAGACTGGTACAAAACAGAAGGGCAACAGTGCCGTGTCAGATTCCTCGCATCACCTTTCATCTCATGGAGTCACGAGGCGGCCCAACTAAGTACTGATGGGGTGATCATAATAATCTGGCCACTCGGTGTATAAATGTGCTTCTAAACCATTACCATTTAAAGCATGAGTAGAACTAAGTGACTAGTCATTAAATCTTTAGTGTAAAAGTACCTTTTAACTATTACAAAATGTATATTTGTGAATCGGCTGTAGGTCCTCAAATTATCTCAATTGGTGCCGACATTTCCTTCTGGAGTAGGGCTACTTTTGTTCTCTATGGTCCCTGTAGCCACACTCCAGAAGGAAGGACAGTGTTGGCACAAATTCCAAGATTGAGGGCCCATTCCCACAATATCCAGATTGTTTCTGGACCCAAAATTCATCCTAATGCATCTGTGCTATTTCTGGCCTCTGTTCACACCAGGGCACTGTTCCAGACCAGAAAAAATACTGCTTGTCCTATTTACTGGTCTGGAATGCACCTGTAAAACAACTTGAAGGAAAAAATACAAATTCCAAATGTGGCAAAACACAATGCACTGCATTCCAGATCTGGTCCAGAAAAAGGTGTGATCCTGCCTTAAAGGGTTGTGTTGAGTGATGCATAAATAAGATACATTTTGTTAATAGTTAAGGGACAAATGCATTTTAATGGTTTAATGTCTGAGTTTAGGGTCATGCGTTTTTCTTAAGTCCTCCACCATAGGCTTTGACACCCCTCATGGTTATATCATTACCAGACTTAATATCACACCACTATATATACACATTGATTACTGCCAGTTTCAACAAGTTGACTGCAGACCAGTACATAACAGATGTTAACTATGATTTTAAAAGATCTGGCCAAGCTCTGAATAGAACTTTAAACTCCGACAACATAATTACTTGCAAACCATAGCCAAAAGCATGGAAATCACTACCCTGGGCCCTCCCCATTGAGGTTGAACATGTATTAGGCTGTGCTTTACAAAGGTAACTGAATTTTGGACACTTGGAGGTTCTTTCAGTAGGAGGTGGGGGAGGATATATTGAGGCAAGCACCTGGCTGGTGAATTATGTTTTGCCACATCAATGGGTTTCCTGACACCTTTCCAAAAAGTGGTGTACTAGGCCACTATAAATTTAGCTAGGCACTATGCGCTTCAGTTGGAAATTTTCATGCACGGAATGTTTAGGCCTTGTAGAACTAAAGGATGGCAATATGTGAACTGTTCATTCTATGGGCCAAAGCTTTACAAAGTCAAAACTTGTCTGTTTTGGACTAGGAAAGGGGTTGGAAAGCTGAAGATGGATGGAAGCCCCCACCTTTTTAGGCCCAGTGCCCAATTATAGCTAGGTACATTGACAATGTACACTGAGTGGCCAGATTATTATGACCACCTGATGTTTTGTAGGCAAATTAGCTATAATTTGGCGCTGAAGTTGCTAGAGGGCCAGACCATTATAAATAGGGAAGCAGGTTGTTTACCACGACAGAAGTGATTTCTGAAGATTCGGGGAAACAACGCGATGTAACAGCCTTTGAACGTGGGATGATTGTTGGCGCTCGGAGCCATGGAGCGAGTATCAGCAAAACAGCAGAATTCGTTAAATGTTCAAGAGCAGCTGTTAAAGTGTTTAAAAACTGGACTGTCAGAGGAAAATCTGGGTCTGAACGTGCAAATTGTGGCCGCCAGCGACTAGTCAATGTTAGGGCAGAACGGAGAGTGGCAAGACTGGTACAAAACAGAAGGGCAACAGTGCCGTGTCAGATTCCTCGCATCACCTTTCATCTCATGGAGTCACGAGGCGGCCCAACTAAGTACTGATGGGGTGATCATAATAATCTGGCCACTCGGTGTATAAATGTGCTTCTAAACCATTACCATTTAAAGCATGAGTAGAACTAAGTGACTAGTCATTAAATCTTTAGTGTAAAAGTACCTTTTAACTATTACAAAATGTATATTTGTGAATCGGCTGTAGGTCCTCAAATTATCTCAATTGGTGCCGACATTGCCTTCTGGAGTAGGGCTACTTTTGTTCTCTATGGTCCCTGTAGCCACACTCCAGAAGGAAGGACAGTGTTGGCACAAATTCCAAGATTGAGGGCCCATTCCCACAATATCCAGATTGTTTCTGGACCCAAAATTCATCCTAATGCATCTGTGCTATTTCTGGCCTCTGTTCACACCAGGGCACTGTTCCAGACCAGAAAAAATACTGCTTGTCCTATTTACTGGTCTGGAATGCACCTGTAAAACAACTTGAAGGAAAAAATACAAATTCCAAATGTGGCAAAACACAATGCACTGCATTCCAGATCTGGTCCAGAAAAAGGTGTGATCCTGCCTTAAAGGGTTGTGTTGAGTGATGCATAAATAAGATACATTTTGTTAATAGTTAAGGGACAAATGCATTTTAATGGTTTAATGTCTGAGTTTAGGGTCATGCGTTTTTCTTAAGTCCTCCACCATAGGCTTTGACACCCCTCATGGTTATATCATTACCAGACTTAATATCACACCACTATATATACACATTGATTACTGCCAGTTTCAACAAGTTGACTGCAGACCAGTACATAACAGATGTTAACTATGATTTTAAAAGATCTGGCCAAGCTCTGAATAGAACTTTAAACTCCGACAACATAATTACTTGCAAACCATAGCCAAAAGCATGGAAATCACTACCCTGGGCCCTCCCCATTGAGGTTGAACATGTATTAGGCTGTGCTTTACAAAGGTAACTGAATTTTGGACACTTGGAGGTTCTTTCAGTAGGAGGTGGGGGAGGATATATTGAGGCAAGCACCTGGCTGGTGAATTATGTTTTGCCACATCAATGGGTTTCCTGACACCTTTCCAAAAAGTGGTGTACTAGGCCACTATAAATTTAGCTAGGCACTATGCGCTTCAGTTGGAAATTTTCATGCACGGAATGTTTAGGCCTTGTAGAACTAAAGGATGGCAATATGTGAACTGTTCATTCTATGGGCCAAAGCTTTACAAAGTCAAAACTTGTCTGTTTTGGACTAGGAAAGGGGTTGGAAAGCTGAAGCCCTCAGGGTTTTTGCCACTTATGTCTCATTGGGGCTTTTTTAACACCTTTTTCCTATAGACATCAGACGTGAGAATCTCTAAGCAAGAATGTTTTTGGACAGTTCCATCAATCCCCATAAAAACTTCTCTCTCCATAAAACTTGCTTAGTTGGCCTTGTTCTTTGAGGCAGTGCAGAAACTCATCTGGGAACATTAGAACATATTTTTACTGAAAATGTCTGCATTTCTACCTCCATTGTGTTGCAGTTGGTTTGCTGTTGAGGGCCCAAGCAGCATCTGTAGCTGCTGTGATCTAGGAAGCTGTGACCAAACCACTTCTGGATCCCGAAGGCAGAATTTGGGAGGAGGGTCAAGACGTCCCTGGAAAAGAGAAGCAACTTCTGGTAGGTACTAAGAGACTGTTTGAAAACCAGACAGATCAGTAAGCTGTTTCTATATTGGAGTATGAAGTCTTAGTATAGATCATAGAAGTATAGATCATAATCCTTGCATCAATCAACTGGAAAACAAACTTATTTCAATCGTAAGCCATTATCATAAAATTGCATGTAGGTTTGAGCCCTAGGTTTGAGCCCTGAAGTATTGACTATTAGTTGCAACCCATCTGTATCTAACTTTAAACTGGCTTTTTCTGCCATGTGTCCTATTTAAAATCCTACTTTTGAAGGCAACCCCTGGAATATTACTAGAACATGTCTCTTTGTGTTTTTGTGAAATGAGGGTTTTCACTTTCTGTTCTGATGACAATGGTCTAGTTGAAATGTAAGTCCTCTTATAAGCTCCCCCCTCCCCAGAAATGGTTTAAGCAAAGTGAGAAGTTTTGGCTTTAGATGTACCAAAATGCAGTGATCTACATTACAAAACCAACTCTAGCTGGTTCACTACATTGGGGTGTTTCTTTCTTGCAGATGTTGGACCACTGGATGGAGAATGGCCTGCAACACTTGGACCTCTGTACATTGTGGGAGCAGATTACAACAAGGCCCTTGAGATAAATGGATCTTCACTGGCAATGGAAGTCTGGATGGTGGCAGGAGTTTGCTCCCTGTGGCTTGTTGTAGTATTGACATGCATATTGGTTTGGAAAATTAAGCCTACGAATACCTTGATGCCTTCAACACAATAAAATAATTTTGGACTAGTTGTGACTTTTTAGCTGCATTCATCTGGTCTGTATCTAATCAATGGGAGTTCAAGATTATGAATGCTTATGTCTGGATAAAACGGGAAGCTTGGCTGGCTGAATACATAATTTTGTGTTGTATCCCTCCAAAAAAAGTATTTCCACAGTTGGTACTAATGTGAGTGGCATAGTACCCAGCAAATGGCATGATTTTGTCTTACCATGCCCAATTTCTCTCCTACTCAATAGCAAAAACCCGCCCCCTCCGTCTCCATAACACAGGTGGGCGAAGTTTTCAGTAGCCAAGGAAAGGACTAGCGCGGGTGACAGGTTGGTCTTCAGATAGCAGATGCACCTTGGCCTATTACAGGAAGTAAGACTTAATCAATTATGGCAGGTTCAACATGTATTCTCTACTTTGAGTACTGGGAGAAGGTCCTGACACCTAAGGCAATGATGCCAGTGAAGGGACCAGACCTGTAAGGATTACTTAACTGCATGGGAGAACAGTCAGGTCCTTTCTCTTAGACAGGGCTGTGTGGTGTGGCAGAGCTGTGTAACTTGGGGATGGATGGACCAAAAGCCTTTGCAGGTAAAATGGCTCCCAACACCTGGGACATGCAGTTTTGGGTGGTAAGTTGTTTTCTACATTTAGCCCTGCTTTAGGCCAGCAAAGCTAAATGGGGAGCGAGGAAGCCGATGCTTGTGTTATATGTGATGTTGCCAAGATCACTTGTAATAAGATTACAGGTACCTCTCCTCGCTGGCCGCCTGTCTCCAGAGAGCGGGGAACAGACTTCCTCTGCTCTGCTCCGTGTAAACAATGAGTGGAGATCTGCACTTGCATCCTTCCCCTCAGCTGTCGCAGGTGTTCCAGCACAGTACTGTGCTAGGACTCCTGTATTACAAGTGACCGGTCCAAGATAACCTGTCGCCTTCAAATGCTATCACACAGGACCTAAGTGGAAAAATAAAAAATTAAATGTTTTTAAAAGAAAATACTTTAATTTTTTTACATTAAATATTTAAAGTAACAAACAATTTAGTGACAGTTTAAAGAATTAAAACTAACCCCACCATCTGGTTTCTTTTTTCCCTGGGATTGTTGGCAGGGAGGGGGGTACATTGAGGAATGTGTCCCCAAATTACAATACACCTGTTTATTGTCTCCCATTACTACTTCCACATCTCAGTGCCATGTAGACTTTGAAATTTCAGTTTCAATGTCTGAGATTTGGAGGTTGTCACTATCTCTAAAACCGGCTGATCAAACTTTGATCAGTCAATCATGAATGCTGCTCCCAGGCACTCACCACCAACCCCCTTAATTCTTCCACTGGTCTTCGGCACTCACCACCAACCCCCTTAATTCTTCCACTGGTCTTCAATCAACCAAATATTCATCTTAACCACCTGCAGGGCAATCAAACTTTGCCAGTTTTTTTAGCCTCATCTAAAAGCATCACCCTAACGGAGCTCCTGTTCATCTCCTCTCATACTTGCCTCCAGGACTTCTCTAGAGTCTCTCCCACCCTCAAATTCCTTACCACCCCCCCCCCCCCCCCCCCCTCCAACCTGTCTGGTTATTTCCGACTGTCTGTCATTAGGTGATCACCCAAAGACTCAACTCTTTAGGGAAGAAAATCCTAGTTCAACCTTCATGCCAAACTTACATTCTCACTCATTTCCTCACAGCAACCACCTCTTGTATCACTTGCCCCTCCCTTTTTTAGATTGTAAATTCTCAGTGGCAGGGCCCCTAACATTGTCTTGAATTGTAACGGCAATGTCTTATATTGTAAAGCGCTGTGCAAACTGTTGGCACAATATACATCCTGTCTAATATAATAATTCTAAGTTCACACACAAGGTTGAAATTACCCTGTACTTGGCCCATGCTGGGTCAGTAATGGGTTGACTGCACTGGAGAGATAACGAACAAGGGTGGACCTTCACAACAATCACCCTCTATACCTCCCCCCCCCATTGCCAGTTCCCCTAAGGTTGCTGTGTGAGATTTAAAATATAATGACCAGGAACTTTGATTATGTAGTTTAGTGTTATATCAAACTTATGTGCCAATCGAATTGTGAAGGCACATTTACTGAGTAACTGCTGAGTTGTTGATCTCATCAGTGGCTATGAGAGGCTCACAACTTTCCTGATTGGGGTTCTCACCATTTTACCAGCAAGGTCAGTGGTCCACAGAGCGCAATTACTGTAAACCACAAACCCTACTGAGGACTCTAACAATGCTGAAACTGCTATTTCTGTAACCCATCATCTGTGATCCATTTCAGAGAGTTACCCATGGGGTGACCACAGGGTAGCCCTGAAAAGAAGAGACTTATCTCTCTATAACCAAAGTAATAAACCAAATAAACAAAAATAATACTTTAAACAAGGGTTGACTTGAGAAGGGGTCTTTGGGTGCCCGCCAGCCCTAAAAGGCCTCTCTTAACACTCCACCCATGTCCCCAGCTGCACCACAACCAGCTCGAGGACACTTACTCCTTCCGGGTTCCCAAGGGGCCAGGCCCCGCCCTTTACATATCCAGACACCAACAGGGGAAAGCCCCCATACCAGCTGAGGGCCCCCATTTTTGTAATGAACTCCGATTTTGTAGACCCCCTAACCCGCCAAGCTGCCGTGACAAAAGAACCCCCGCCCTCGCAGTTCCTTCCCATGTTGCTCCTCCTGGACACCTGACTCCCACGTCCAATGAGGTAAGAGCAGCTATTCTCATTTTATTTTTTTTAACCCTTTCTCCCGGGACTATTCCTCATCCCAGTCATGTAGCCCCTCCGCTTAGTCTCTCCGTGTCTGTCTTTTCTCCCAGAACCCTGTAAGCATGCCACCTTTCAGGTGGGGCTGTATATTGAAACTGTCTCTTTACCGTTCCTTGGCCACTGCATGTATTCCACCCTTCTGAGTGTGTGAAAAACCTGCTGTCCCCCTAAATGCATTGGTTCCTCCCACTGGCTCATACAACCTGTAATGACTTTGACCTGGTGGCAGGAACAGCCGCACGTGGTAGGGAAGGCAGGTATTCCACACATCAAAGTGTGGAACGTGTGCAGTGGCTGGAATGCAGTGAATAGGCAGACTATAAACATATGGGCCACTAGAAAGGTGTAATACCTCTTACATTTTTGCAAGTTACCCCGTCATGACAGGGTCACTTCAAGTAAAAAGTAACTTTTTATTTGTGTTTATTTGGAATTTTTATTTATTTTTAAAGTGGGCATGCTATGTTTTACTATTCTATCAAGAGGCTTAACCCCTTCGTGACTGACGACGTACAGTGTACGTCGCCAGCATCGGGGCTGTTTAAACAGACTTGGTGTCCGCGGGGAGCTGGTGAGGAGGTTGACGAACTTCCGTTCATCGATCTCCTCCCTGTTCTATGGGACCGGGAGCGATGCAGATTCCCTTCTGGTCCCTGGGATGTCAGTTCTGTGCTTCTGCAGCCCAGCTATAAGCTATTGAAGTGCGATCTGCACTTCAATAGCTTATTTCCAGTGTAAAGGTGACACTGGGGGTCTTTTGGACCCCCAGCATCACCTTAAAGAGTACCTGTCACCACCATATGCTATCACATGGGGGGCTTGTAAGCCCCCCTATGTGATAGCAGTCAAAGTAAAGTAAAAAAAAAAAGTTTTTAAAATTAAATAAAATAAATCTAATAAAAATTAAAAAAGTCCCCCGCCCCCGCGAGCACGCGCATCGCTAAGTAAACACGCGTCGGGTGCGCCTACGTGTGAAAACGACGAACGCGCTACACATGTTGGGTATCGCCACGCACGCCGGAGTGAGAGCAACAATTCTAGGGCCAGTATTTTGGGGTATCTCTAAATTGATGACCTGTGGGGGCTTTTAAAGCGCCTTCTATGGACTTTTTGGGGTACTGCAGTTATTTGCCGTTTCACGGACGCACGCAATTTGTAAACTGGGCATGTTGGGTATCGTTTTACTCGTTGTAACCTCATCTTTTATATTCATTAAAAAAAATGGGTATTTTATTGTGTTCTGGGGCATTTCATTAAATTTGTCACTACATTTTGGGGTTTAATAAGGAGTTGCGCTAATATTGCGCTACATAAAAATTTGCAACTACCACCATTTTATTCTATAGGGTCTTGGCATTCAGAAAATATATAATGTTTGGGGGTTTTAAGTAATTTTCAGGCCTAAAGTGTGGAATATAACATGGGTGCAAAAAAATGGAAAAAAGGCCTCAGTCATGAAGGGGTTAAGCTGAACCCAGGTGGAATATTTGTTCTGCTATTATTATTTTGGCATAGGCTATTAAGTAAGCTATAACACTACACATATGCTGCCCAAAAAGTAGTTGGCAAGAGTAAAATGTCTTTCATTTTTTTTTAAAAATGCAACCCTCCCCCCAAAATCATGTTTAACTGATTGGCATTTACAGCTGGGGCATTTTTTTTTCTTCAAAAAAGCAACTGACCACACGTCCGGTCCACTTAAATGCACATTGAGGCTCAGGGTCGGTTCACACCATAAACAGTGAGTTCCAGAGCAGATAGCTGCTGGAACGCACTAGTGTCGTATTCTGTCCGGCTTCCTGTGTTCAGGGTCGGGAGGGGGTGTGGTGGTGCATTGAAGTCAATGGCACCTCAGCCCCGCCACCCTGTCCAAACCAGAATGCGTGGCACATCAGTGCCTGCGTTCCGGTCCAGTGCGATCTGCAAAAATGCTGCAAGCACTATCGTGTGAACTGGCCCTCAGTGAGAGACGGTTACAAGTATAGTGCTGAACAGGAAGGGTGCAGTCGATGTTGACAAATCCTTCTCTCCTCTGCCAATGAGAGAGAAAGCTGCAAAAAGCAGCCATGGTTAACATTTTGTTAAAGTTATGATGTGATCGCATGGCTGTGGTGCAAGTTCATTGGCTGTACCTTGTTTTGTGACCTTCATTGTCAGTGTGAAGGTCTGACAGTGTGCTAACAGAGAACTGCTTGTGTGCGCACTAAGTGGTTTGCACGAGCAGAGACAAAAATTGCTCAAGAAGCGAGCCGTCCACCCATCTATACACAACGGGCAGACGGCAAGCAGTTACAGGATCTCTAAAGCAATAACAAACATGGATTTTAATGCAGCCTACCTATCCTTAAAGGTACCGGTTACATATTTATTTTTGTTTTCAGGCCTGTGAGCTAAATTGAAAGCACAAACAATTATATATTTTTTTTTCTGTGCAAAGGCAGACATGTTTGAAGCCCAGAGTGACAATCATGGCTTCCTCCATTGATGCAGTACAATGGCTGTTGTCACCCTAGGACAGGAATATTGTC